CAAGGAAAGTTTCAATTCAGAGTAAAGAAAAGTTCACAAAGGCCCAGTAGTAATTTGTAAACCACCACACTCAGAAAACACAAAAAAGTTAGGCTACAAATTCTGGAAACCAACAAAAACAAACTGTTATTTAAAAGAATGAGCCAGGCTTGGTGGCTTACTCCCGTAATCCCAGCACTTTGGGAGGCCGAGGTGGACGGATCACCTGAGGTCAAAAGTTCCAGACCAGCCTGGCCAACCTGGCGAAACCCCATCTCTACTAAAAATACAAAAATTAGCTGGACATGGTGGTGGGTGCCTGTAATTCCAGCTACTCAGGAGGCTGAGGCAGGAGAACTGCTTGAGTCATGGAGGCGAAGGTTGCAGTGAGCCAAGATCGCGCCATTGCACTCCAGCCTAGGTGACAGAGTGAGACTCCGTCTCAAAAAAAAGAATGGGCCTGTTGTAGTGGCTCATACCTGTAATCCCAGCTACTGGGTGGCTGAGGTGAGAGGATCACTTGAGCCTAGGAGATCAAGGCTGCAGTGAACTTGATCATGCCACTGTACTCCAGCCTGGGTGACAGAGGGAGATCCAGTCTCAAAAAATAAAAATTAAATAGAAGAATGTGATGGCTGGTGTGGTAGCTCACACCTGTAATCCCAGAACTGTGGGAGGCCAAGGGAGGAGAATCACTTGAGGCCAGGAGTTTGAGACCAGCACAAAGCCTGGGCAACACAGCGAGACCTCACTCTGGTGCCAAGTCTGGACTACAATGATGCACTCTTGGCTCACTGCAGCCTTGACTTCCTGGGCTCAGGAGATCCACCTACCTCAATCTCCTGAGTAATTGGAACTATACGCACATGCCACCATACTCACCTATTTTTATTTTTGTAGAGACAGGGGTCTCACTATATTCCCCAGGCTGGTTTCAAACTCCTGGGCTCAAGAAATCTTCCTACCTCAGCTTCCCAAACTGCTGGGATTACAGGCATAAGCCACTGCCCAGGCTCTACAAAAAAAAAAAAAAAAAATTAAAAGGATGATGAATTATAGGCTAAAATTTCCCATTATTAGGTTAAAAAATAGCCAAATCCCATATCTATCAAAAGTAACATCAGCAGTCAATTCAGTGGCTTCATTTTATAAACCATATGGATGCAGTATGGTATAAAATAGGAAAAACAACCATGCCCAGGAAGAAAGAATGATTGGTCCCTAGAAGAAAGATATGCATATGGATAAAGGCAAGGGCAGTAAAGGACTATTTATGTTAGCTTCTTTTCAAACCAAAAATGGAGACTTCTTCAGCCAAGCTCAAATATTAGAAGTCTTGACTTTTTAACAGCACCAAGTTTCAAAACAGAGGCACAAGAGTTACAATAGACAAACACGTCTTGTTTGCACTTGACTTCCTGTTTTGGGCTCTGATCTCTTTCCACTGTTGCATCCTAGGCCAGTAGTGTTAGACCCTCAACAAATAGGTAACCTTTCCTATCTGCTGCCAACCGGTTCACTAGACAGTATTTCAGTGACAATAAAGTACATTATATGAGTCGTAAAAGATTCCCCTAACAAGCACCAAAAACCAATCATAAGGGGAGGGATAACATTAGGAGAAATACCTAATGTAGATGACAGGGTGGGGGGAGGGGGGAATGGATGCAGCAAACCACCGTGGCATATGTACCTATGTAACAAACCTGCACAATCTGCACACGTACCCCAAAATTTAAAGCATTAAAAAAAAATCTGACCGGGCATGGTGGCTCACGCCTATAATTCTAGCACTTTGGGAGGCCGAGGTGGACAGATCATGAGGTCAAGAGATCGAGACCATCCTGGCCAACATGGTGAAACCCCATCTCTACTAAAAAAAAAAAAAAAAAATTAGCTGGGCATGGTGGCGCACACCTGTAGTCCCAGCTACTTGGGAGGCTGAGGCAGGAACATTGCTTGAACCCGGGAGGTGGAGGTTGCAGTGAGCTGAGCTCGCCCCATTGCACTCCAGCCTGGTGCCTGGTGCCTGGTGACAGTGCGAGACTCTGTCTCAAAAAATAAAAAAAAAAAAAAATCATGAGTCTCAGACACTTTCTGGATTTCCCATGCTTCATACTGACATCTGACTTAGAGTAAGCAATAAAATCTCAAACAGGGCTGAGATAAGGAAATTAAGCCTAAAACAAAACTTGGAATATATGGGCTGGGAAAAAGAGCAAGAAAATTTGAAAACATTTTAATAATTAAATGTTAACCCCTTTTCAAATGCAGAAGGAACAGATTCCCAGAAGTGAGTGACGGAGACAGTTAAACAGCTCTTTGGTGAACACTGCCTCAAATCCAACCTGCTACCAACTGGACAAAGTCTACTTTTCAGCATTGCAAAAGCCTTCAATTTTAGACACCTAAAGCCTCCACTTCAAGTGTAACTTTCCACTACTTTCAAAGATTTGGTGGTTTCCCAGGCCACATTCAGTTCTAGAAGTAAACACTGGGCAACAAATACCCGTTTCATGGACAAGTCATTTAGCCTCTTTCGGTCTGTTTTCTCATCTGGAAAACAGGAAGGCTGAACTACACTCATCTCTAATGTTTTCTCCAGCTGTAGAAAAAATTTGAGGATTCAATATTAACGGTTAACAGAAGTTTCTGTGGCTTCCTGTATTATTTCTTTGGTCAAATAAGATCGCGCCACTACACTCCAGCCAGGGTGACAGAGCAAGATTCCGTATTAAAAAAAAAAAAAAAAAAAAGATGCCTCTGACATCCCACATCCCACACTGTGAATAAAATGACCTGATCTATCTCCCCAGTATGCAAAAATTTTTTTCTCCTTTCCCTTGAAACAAGCATCAGAAAATTTCCCTCTTGAAAGCAATATACTGACAAATCTGTTCTTTATACATGGTCTTTTCTTAAAGTCTTAATGTAATCACCACTCAATTCCCATGCTGGTCATCTGATTCATGGAGAAACTCGAGCCACAAAAGGATGGAGAAAATTCGACCAGCAGCATGTGGCACACCCACACAGTGACTGCTAGTGGGGAAAAAATGATGCAAAATCTGGGTAAAAAAAGGGAGTGGTAAAGACAAGTTCAGTGAGTCAGTGCAAAGGAAAACACAGTTTAATAGAAAAGAAAGAAAAGGAAATGTGAAAGGAAGAAGAAAAGCAAAAAAAGGGAGGGCATCTATAAACAATGAGCATACACTTAAATCTGAAATTCCGTTCAGTTATTCATTCATTCATCCAATAGGTATCGAATGCCCACTATGTGCAAGGAACTGAACTAGGGGAAAGACAAAGGTCAACCAGACAGATCTGCTCAGTGAGGCCATGGTCTAGTAGGAGAGAGATGAGTATGTACATAAACAGCTATACTAGACGGCAGAAAGTGTTAACGTGCCACAAAGGAGACATAAAAAAGAATTCTCTACTATGAGAATCAAGAGGAAGTGATTACTCCCAGTGAGGGATCAGACTAAGGAGCCCTTCATGGGAAGAATGACATTCCAAGCCAAAAGCACAACAGAAACAAGGGTACCCAAGTAGGAAATCAAGGATATACAGGAGCAGTGAGTAGCTGGCAATAGCTAGTGATCCAGAGAGCCATGTCTAAATTGGATACCTGGACTGAAGCCAGATTGAGTTTTCAGAAATTGGCATTAGTATCTGAATTTAAGTCTAGTGGAGGAGGAAGGGGACAGGAAGGAGTTGACAAACTAGGAGCCAGAGGAAACTAAAAAACTTAACTCGAGGGGCGGGGGAGAGGAGGAGGTGGCAAAACAAAACAAAACAAACAAAAAACTTAACCCATAAAATTAGGATAATAAAATCAATACAAAATCAATGTGTACAGATATGTAAAATTCCTCCAAAGAGACAGAGTATCTTCCAAACCAAAAGCAAGAAAAGGACAAAAAGGCTTGGATGACTATATTAATATACAGGTATTTAAACAAAGAATGTGCCCACATCTAAGACTGATTAGCAAAGAAATCTGGAAAAAAAATCTAGAAAAAACAAGCAGGGGCATTTTGACTCCAGAGCTACTCAAGGCCGAGAAATACTAGAGCTACACAACATCTCTGCAGTGGAACAAGGTTATTTCAAGAAGCTTAAATGGGAACAGCATATATTAACAGCTAGGGGTATGGGCTCTTAGAGGCAGAGGGACTTGGTTCAAATCTCAGTTCAGTGTCTTATCAGCTTGAACAGAGCCTTGGTTTCCTCATTTGTAAATTGAAGATAATTTGCCTACTTTGCAGGAGGATCACTGAGAGAATGAAATGCCCTACTGTATGCAAAGTACTTAATGTAATACCAGCTATTATGGGAAACAATCAATAATCTTTTTTGTAACTGTATTCTCCCCCACAAACCATTCTATCTTATAATTCCATGCTCACTAAGCAAGCTTGATATTATTAAATTTGATTTTCCAGATCTCCTGATATTCAAAAGCAATTATCCTAACAAATTCCAGAATCTTGTTAACGGAAAAGGAATCCTTCACCCTAAAATAATAAATTGGCATTCCATTCTGAGCTCAATCACTCAAGTCTGAATACAATCCTGTCTTCAAGACTGATTATTTCCAGGTTCTCAACCAAATACATTTTGTGACCTAAGACTAGACTGACAACACAGTGACAAAAATCCTGAGGGGTCATCCTGAGAAGTTAGACTGGCATCACCCTGGCCAGCCCTACCTAATGCCACCCTCACTCTACAAGCTAACTTGTATAATACTTTCCCATACTTCTCCTCCACCTTCCACCCCTCTCATACCCTTCAATCATGAACTACAATGAAGCACTTTCCCTTCCTCTCTAACCTTTTAGAGGTCAAATAGCTCATTTTATCAATTTTTGCGTTTTCCTCCATATCCCAATATAACTTGCATCAAAAGAACCAAAATAAATATTTACTGCAAAACACAATTTTGCTTAACAACACAAGCCATTGCATTCCACCATTCTCACAAGCTGAAGCCCCTTTCCAATATATTTTTCTCACATCAGATGCGTAACGCGCTGACTTTGTAGTAACAAGGCTTGAAGGAGGCACATCTCATACGTGTATGAAAACCCAATCATCACACTTATGAACAACAAAAGGATCCCCTTTCTGATTTACTGAACTCTTATTCTATGCTTTTCTTTTCCTCTCTTCCCTTGCCTTTGCCCATCTCTCCATTCCTAAACTGCCAGATTATTATAGAAAAATCAGAAGACTTTACTTAAATGGGTTGCTAACAAATTCATACAGCTGAGGCTAAACCATCAATGGGCTCTAAAAGCCTTTGATTCATCTCTAGTTGATGTTCTGATGGGACTTTCCAAAGAGCAGTGTCATGCAAGGTTTAGGAGCATGAGACCTGGGACAGACAGAACTCATAGTCTTCTTCTTGTGTGAGGTGTCAAGGTGATTAATTCTCTAAGCTTCATTTTCCTCATCTGTAAAATGGAGTACCTAAATGAGGTCATTTACACAAATCCTTAACACTATCAGAGTGACAGCCTTAGAGTAGGTGCTTAGTAAATACCAATCCAACAGCTTTTAAAATCTTGCCTTCAAACACACACTTCTCTATGAAAGTTTGTACAAGGCAAACTCTTTGTGATCTTCCTTTTTCTTCAATTCCCAACTTCCCTAAGAAAGTAGCTGGTACTCTGTCTTCACTTCTCCATCACACACTCATTCATTAACTCAATTTCATTTCTGTGGAAAGCCCTTTCTCCATGGTCACCAATGATCTTCTGATAGATAAATGCGTGGCTCTTTCCCATGTCCTCAACCTTCATGATCTCCCTGCAGCCCCATACATGCAAAATCTACCCAAATTCTTTATGAAGCTGTCCTCAGAGGGTTACCAAAAATTCTAGACAGAAATATAACTATAATTAAGCATTAGGCCAGGTGTGGTAGCTCACCTGTTATCCCAGCACTTTGGGAGGCTGAGGTGTGCAGATCACCTGAGGTCAGGAGTTCAGGACCAGCCTGGCCAAAATGGTGAAACCCTGTCTCTACTAAAAATACAAAATTAGTCGGGTGTGGTAGCACATACCTGTAGTCCCAGCTACTCAGGAGGCTGTGGCAGGAGAATCGCTTGAACCTGGCAGGCAGTGGTTGCAGTGAGCTGAGACTGTGCCACTGCCCTCCAGCTGGGACCACAAGAGCAAAATTCCATCTCAAAAAAAAAATAATAATAATTAGCATTAATCAGGCTACACTTTGACCCATTTCTTTATAACCAAAAGTCACTGACCATCTGCATCCCTACTGTTTCTAAAGAAAGGACTTCTGGGCTGGGCTTGGTGGCTCACGCCTGTAATCCTAGCACTTTGGGAGGCCAAGGCAGGTGGATCACAAGGTCAGGAGTTCAAGACAAGTCTGACCAAGATGGTGAAACCCCATCTCTACTAAAAAATACAAAAATTAGCTAGGCATGGTGGCACGTGCCTATAGTCCCAGCTACTCCGGAAGCTGAGTCAGGGGAATTGCTTGAACCTGGGAGGCGGAGGTTGCAGTGAGCCCAGATTGCACCACTGCACTCCGGCCTGGGCAACAGAGCTAGACTCTGTCTCCAAAAAAAA